AGGAATGCACAACAGGACCGGGATAAGACAGCAAGATAGTGGGTTCATTTTAGTAAGTACTCTTTATTAAATAAAGCCCAACCAATGAGAATCCAGTAAAAAAGGTGTTACATTTGGCATTTTATATGTGGAATATAGAAAATAAGACCTAAGAGGAAGACTGACACAGCAAATCTCGTACGTGAACAGAAATGATACAAATGTTCAGAGTAAAAAGGAGTTAATGAATTCAGTGACACTTAGTTATCATGGAGCTGGGATTTTGCCATCATACTTTGCTCTTCCTTCTCAAGACAGTTTTATTTCCTTTCCTGCTCTGTGAATGACTCACGGAAGGGAGAAGCTGGCTCACTGTTTCAAATGAAGTTGGCTTCACAATGTTGTAACATAAGTAAGCAAACATGCCACTTTCTAGAGCAGGATAAATGTATCTTTTTGGAATTAGTCCCACTTTCATATCTAAAATTACTTCTAAAGTTAAAATTAATTGATATTTTTGAGAAAATGCTCCTGACTGAAGAGGAGGAGCAAGGACTTAATGCAAAAATACCATTGTACTTCTACAGGTCTCAGCACAGAGGATGCTGAAACACGTTAATGTGATTAAGAAAAAATAAAAAATCAGATTTTAGATTAAAAAAAATGCTTAAATTTACAAAATGAAGAGAAATTGTTACATCAGCAAGGCCAGGTGGAATTCAGCCAGAAGCCCTGAAGAAGTTTAAAAAGAAAGTAGCTGATTTTCTCACATGGGCAACAGTTACTGCATCATAAAATAGAAGTGTAAGGATGAAATCTGATTAAATGAACCCAAATAATCACTTCTGAAGTGAAGAGATAGCTGGATAAAAAGTACACTAAATGCTGTGATTTTTTCAAAAGAAAATACGTCAAGGCCCTTAGTGACATGGTTTAGTGGTGGCCGTGTCAGTGCTGGGGTGAAGGTTGGACTTGATGATCTCAAAGGTCTTTTCTAACCTTGTTGATTCTATGATAAGACCCTCAATCCACTAGAATGATTCTAAAAGAAAAATCATAATACAATCTGATAGAATTTATCTTCACTTGTATGTTCACAAAGCCTCAAGTGCTCCAAGAAGTTACTACCATGAAAAGCTGCAGTAAGGTGGACTGTGAAGCATTGAAAATTAGGCAAGCTGAGGGGGGAGAGTAGGAGTAAATGCTAAATATAAAAAATTACGGAGATTGATAGTAAATTGTGGCAGAACTATACTGGGACCACTGATCAACAGCAAATAAATTGGAGAAAAGAATACATACTCCAGTAGCAAAATGAGGTGGAAGTGGTGCTGCTTAGATTATGCAGGACTTAAAACTTTGAGGAAATGCAGTGGGCTGTAGCAGAACGTAAGAAATGGGTGATGTTTACAAATAACAACAAAGTAGGTTCTGGGTGGGGTAATACGAATTTACTCATATGCAGTTAATCAACTATCACTCGAAATTATGTGGCTAAAGCAGTAGAACTTCCATTTAGCAGGCACTGGAACTCACAGTGCCACCAAAATAAATGTTCAAAATGCAGCAATCGGAGCACTTGGCAAAATCCCTTAACACTGATCGGAGTTTTATCAGCCCTCTGAACTGTTGCGTTCATCCTTCTCTCTCCCATATCAAAAAAAAAAAAAGGCAGCTCAGGTAAAAGATAAGTGGGTGATGAGTGGTCAGGAACAAATGAAGTATGTTTGTTTGGGATTCTCTATTTCAGAAGCCAGTATGTATAAACTGGTGGTGCAGAACAGATAGTGTAAATTTTGCAAGGATACAGACAACATGATGAAAATTAAAGGCAACACACTTAAAACTGGTAACAGGAAATGCTTTTTATGACAAGCACAACTGCAAACTCAATCCTGGAGATATTATTGAAGCCAGGGGCTTAGTAAGAATAAAAAAATGGAGTTGGAGATACATACTATATATATATATGAGAATGTGCACAGTTACATTCAATCAGATTAAACAGTTTATTTTGATAAAGAACGTAAAACCTTGTGCTTCACAGCTTTATGCAACAAGCAGCATGTTATTGTTTAGAAGGTTTTTCTGTTGGTGCCTTGACAGTAAATACTGGGAGTATATTTAGATTTCTTTTCATCATAGCTTTTAGAACCTCGCTCTGCAAAACCTGGAAGTAGGCATCATTAGCAGCAGACTGTTGCTTTAGGTTGCAGAATTAAACTGATACTTAGATCTGAACTGGGGTGGCAATGCTCTGTTCAGAAAATTATTTTTTTCCACTGTGGTGAAATACCTCACCAAAATAATATGAATACTGAAGTATTTTGTTTCAAGCTTGCAAGATGCTGGATGCTTTCACTCAGTTCTCATAAGCTTCCTGTGACACAGTTTTTCAAGAAAACTTTTTGACTAATCCATGTCTGATTTCCCCTGCCTGAGATCTGATGATTTTACAAGAGGAGTTTTGTTCAGTGTTCTAGAGGTAATGTTTTCTAATTTACCCTTACTGTACTTCACTTGGTCTTACGAAACGAAAGCAGTTCAGTATGTCGGTGGCTTCACAAGCTGTACAACTCAGGTTTCTGGTGGGGAAGAGCTGTGGGGCTGCTGGAAAGCTGCTGGAATAGCCAGAGCTAATAGTGTGTGAACTCTTCAGAGCACTGCATTACATTCATTTGCCTTGACACTTTTTGAATAAGTGGTGTAGGTGAATTTCCATATAAATGCTTTTGCATTTTGGTTCATAATTTTCATTTAATCTAAAAGTTAATTTTACACAGCATAAATTCTAATCACCTACTGCAGTTGGTGTTGCCAAAAGTGTGCTGGCATCTTGACACAGGGCCATTACAGATACTTGTGCAGAAAAATGCCATTTGCTAGGGCAGGCTTAGTAGAAATGCACATTTTGTTTTTATGAAATTAAGTTACATCAATTGTGCCTCCTGTCTGGTTTTTAGCAAACTTCAAACCAAGTGAAGAATTTCTAGTCTCCAGTATTCAGTGCCATCTTTACATTTTTCCAGCCTTAGCTTTTCTCAGCCCAGAGCCTTTACACTTTCTTTTGATGGGGCTACAATATAAACAAGTGCCACAGTTCTTAGTTTCTGTTGAAATACTGATTATGGCATTACTTGTTAAGATAGTTTCTTGCCAAGTTGATACAGTGTCAGTCTCAAAGTTTAATGATGAGTATATCTTTTGTTTCTTTCTTTGTCCCCAG